TCAACTTCTAATATGAAAGAATCAACAAAATTAATCATAAGATGAATTCATTTAGCCAGCAACAATGTTTTGAAACTGTGCAGTCTATTCTGTTGATAATTTCAGTTCCCCGTGTGGGTTCAAAGGTCCCATTGAGGGGAAAAGAAGAAGAGAACCACTGTCAACCCAAAAGCAGTTCATAAAAGTCGTCTAATCGAGAGCTTCCTTCGAAGTTGGGGTGCATCTGCCTGAGAGGCCAGGAATCAAAAGTCTGCATACACATGACTTGGATCTGCAAAATGGATGTGCACGCAACACTGATTCTGGAACAGAAATACGGTCAAGAAGTGGCTGAACAACCAGAACTTTCTGCTAGAGTTTACAGCAGGTGAACGCGAAGAAGAAGAAGAAGAAAATTTCAGTATTTGGAAAACCTGATCTCTAGTAAGATCTTTAATTGATATGCCCGGAATTGTGGTTGGTGAGCACAATATAAACAATTTACGTTATGCTGATGACAGTTTTGATAGCAACAAGTCAGAAAGAACTACAGGAAATGATAGACATAGTGGTGTTAGAAAGTGGAAAAATGGGCCTCAGTTTGAATAATGAGAAGAGAGAAGTGATGGTACAGAAATCTAAGTATCTGGGCACATGGATAACATCAGATGGAAGATGCATAACTGAGATAAAAAAAAACAGAATAGGACAGGCAAAAACTGCATTTTATAAAATGAAAAACATCTTGTGCAATATATCCTTGTCATTGAGAGTTAGAAAAAGAATTCTTGCTTGCTACATACATCCAGTCTTAACATATGGCTGTGAATCCTGGACAATCGGTAGGCAGGCCAAACAATTTCTTAACCCTCTTAGCACGGACGGGCCGATTATCAGCCGGTGGATGTCTGGCCAAAAACATGGAACGGCCGATAATTGGCCCGATCGTGTTTCGCCTCGAACCGCTAAGAAATCTCCTATTTTGAAACACTGAAAGTGATTCATTTATATTAACTGCGGTATTAGCTTTACACATGGCGACTTTCGAGTGTTGGGTATCAAAGTGAAAATTGTTGTTGAATTTTTTAGTGACCTGAACCGCTAAAAGTATGTCTGACTCGTATGTTTCTGCCCCTAAACTTGATGTTGATAAAACATTTGAATCAAGTGATGACACTAATTATGTTGATACTGATGCAGGATTTAGTGTTAGTAGTAATAGTGGGAATCAGATTGGGACGCTGTTGTGTTCAGTCACAGCCCAACCATGGCTCAGTGTATATCCACCCGAAGGTGTAGACACTCCGGCACATCCATTTCTTGTGCTGGCTGATGGTGAAAAACACATGTCACCTAAAGATATTATTGCTGTTTCATATATATATAAATCTGTTTTTGACTATTGAATTGCTTACAACATTTGCAAAAAGGCCAAAGATCAATAAAAAGATTTCAAATAAAAAAAAAATTTTCTTTTTAGTTTTATGTTTCAAGCATTGAAGTTGAAAATTCAAATTTTCTATTTTTAGATATGCAAATGAGATAATTTGCATATACATCAATTAATTTTTACGATATTGTGAAAATCATGAACTTCAATCTATATCCTTCAAATAGATATTATTTTATGGGGGTCAGAATAACAGAAATCTGTCAAAAAAATTAAATAAAATAATAACCAAATTCACTGAAAAAATGCTCCGTGTTTTTGGCTAGACCTCTGAAAAACTTCCCGTGCTAAAAGGGTTAAGGCCAGAGATGTGGTTTTTACAATGTTTAGAATAGATGCTTAGAATACCTTGGACAGCCAAAAAGAGGCGAGAGCCCGAAGACAACTTATCACAGACATCAGAAGGAGACAGTCATCATTTTTCGGCCATGTTATGAGAAGAGGGAAAATAGAACATGTTGTGACCACTGAAAAGATCTGTGGAAAGAAGGATAAAGGAAGACAACGAGAGAAGATTCTTGACATTCTTGTTGCATGGAAGTGTGTCGGCACACAAACTGATACATGCTGCAGGAGATCGCAGATTGTGGAGAAGCATGATCGCCCACGCTAGTCGGCAAGGCACCTGATGATGATGATCTCTTGTATGTCTCTTCTTCTTGCCATGAACCAAATGTAAACTCCGGTGGAAGGTTCTGGTTGTTCGTCCATTTCTGGACTGTGAACTTGTTCTAGAATTTGAGTTTTGCGTGCACATCAGTTTTACAGATCTGGATTATGTGTAAGCAGTCTGTTGGTTTCCTTGCCTCTCACGCAGACAGATGCACTCCGACTTTAAAGGAAACAGCCCTAATCAGTCGCCTCCTACAACATACTTGTTAGCTGGGGAAGTAAGTGGGTCTGATGCCAGCCTCTCTCAGCAGAACGGCTAGTTGCCTACCCGGAGCATCACAAAAAGCTTGAATGAAGTAGCTTCAGCGAATATCTCTCTGGCTATCTCTAGTAAACTGTACTTGTGAACTGAACGACACATCTGTGACACGAACTCAGAGTACAAAGACAACAATCCTGACAACGCTGCCTAAGAGACGCATAAACTCCCCCTCCCCTTTTCCCCCCACAATATACTATTCTTTAACACCCACAGGCACTGAACACTGCACTCTACTGCCTATTTTAGACTAAAAATTAAACAACATCAACACAAAACAGAACATATAAAAAGAATTCAACATGGAATTTATGGCCAACAAGGCTAGCCACTCCAACAACAAAGTATGTAAGTCTCTGAATAACCGCCTTATCTTTCTGTATGTGGGGTAGAAGTGCCCTAAGGGACTTAATGTGTAACACAGCTTTATTTAATATTTTAAAGTTATGCCCCTTGCCTTACCATTTTTTCTCTGTCTAGTATTTATTTTCTGTATTCTCACATCCATAAGAGCTTCAACTAGCCAGAAAGACAGGTGGATTTTTCTTGGAGAGATCTCAGCTAAGTGACTTTGTGTATTCTTGTTTGTATTTGTCTAACAATTTATGTGCTGATGAAGGCTTTCTTGCTGTAGCATTCACCTGTAATTTGTGACTGTGACTTCTACGTCTGGTTTGATATCTTTTCGTAATAAAAGGAATTCAGAACCCAACTTCCAGAGCCCTGTTTGGAGGGGGGAGTGGGGACAAGAACATGTAGGCTGCTCGTTAACAGGTAAAGGGCAACTTATTAAGGTTCTCAAACTGGATAGGTTGGACTGAAAGGCAAAGATATCACAGCCTAGCTGTAAACTACTACATGCCAAACGCCCTTTTAAGGGCAGATGCAGAAGAAGAAGTAGAACCCAACATAACAGATCTGAATAAACGATTACCTCTCACTTCATCTGAACATGACAATAAACATAAATAATGATTACATCGAGTAAATTAAATGCATCTGAAAAGCAACTTGTTAACAAATCAATCGCAGCTACAAAACATAGAGCAAAGGAAAACAAACAAAGTAAATTAATGGCAACAATTTAAAAAAAAAGCGAAAAATATTCCCAAATCTTAAAACAAAAAAATTTCGCACGTTCTCCTCTGCTTCAGCCACCTGTAAATTCAACTGAAAATGAATAGGAAAGTTAATCAAATCTCAGACAATGGATAATAAGTCTGATAAACACAAAAAATACCAGCAAAGACCTTTTACCAGTTAATCTAACCCATGCAAAGTAAAATAATTCTTGCAAGTCAATCTAATGTATCCAAGTTAAAATAATCCATGCAAGTTAAAAACCTGTGCAGGTCAATCTAATCCATGCCAATTAAAATAATCCTTGTAAGTCAAAATAATCCTTGCAGGTCAATCTAACCCATGCAAGTTAAAATAAGCTGTGTGAGTCAAAATCACTGTCTCAAATTGAATCCATACAAGTCCCTTTAATCCTTACAAGTCACTCTAATCCATACATATCACTCTAATCCTTATAAGCCACTCTAAGCAGGGCTGTTCAACTGACAGACCGCGGGCCAGATTGGCCAGCGGAGGCCTAGCAAGTGGCCCATGGATCATTGCCAGCTGTACTGTATTAATGATCTTTCTTTGCTGGAGATCAAGCCTCTGGCCAACTACAATCATATTTTCTAAATTCTGGCGCATAAGTAAAGTCGAATAGCCCTGCTCTAATCCATACAAGACATTCTAATCCATACAGATTACTCTAAACAGGCTACTCTAATCCTTACAAGTTACTATAATCCATATAGGTGGCTAATCCATAAAAGAGAATCTAATCCATACAAGTCACTCTAATCCATACATCACTTTAAACCATTTAAGTCACTAATCCATACAAGTCATTGACCTAAAAATAAGTGAATCCAGTAAACTCAAAAATATCAATAGGTACAAAACAAACCAAGCGAATTCTAAACAAACCTGACAAAAAATTCATGCCAATATAACAGACAACTTTCAATAAATTTTAGAATATTCTTCTCTAGTCCTGTTCTGTCTCTAGGCCTTGAAGAGGCATCGGATGCGAGCCTCAGTATGTGTTATGTAGTTGCTGGTATTTATGGCCATGGATATTCCATCTATCGCTTGCATGGAACCCAGTTGTTACAGGTTTCAATCCCTATCAAGCAGACTTTTAAACATAACCTGGTTAATCCAGGTTAAGAGAGTGCCCATAAAACAGTGGTTTTTTCAAAAATGATATTGGCTTCCAAATTCACCCAGCCTATAATGGGTATCAGAAAATGGCCTGGGAAGTAAAGGTGATTGGAGTGATAAGAGCATGCCATGAAAAGTGCAGGATAAGAAGAACAGTGCTGATGATATAAGAGGATTATCATGAGGATCACACCCAAGACAAACATCCATGAAAACAAAATCCATGAAAGCTAACCTTATGACATACATTCAAACATAATTCAAACCCAAACCCATGCAAACACAAAGAGAAAAACAGACCTTACACCCATTTCTGAATTAAATGACAGCTTAAGGAAGCTTACTGCAGAAAACAGTGAAATATAAAAACAACAGATTTCAGAAGATAGAAAGGGTTATCTACGAATAAAACATTACCTCGTTTTCTCTCCTTTTGAGATCAGCCTGAACTTCTTCGTACTCCTCCTTTCCTTCATCTTCTGACATGAGCCAGCCTGGGCAACCATTAACAATAAAAGTATTATTCATTTTCTATTCTAGATCTGAAACATGCAGTGACAACTAGAAAGATTAATGGAAAGAGAGACTGAAAAAGAAAACGAGAATATTCTTCATCACTTTTTGTCAGAGAAAACTAAGTGGAACCACATGGGGTGCTAGAGGGAAAATACTTAGAAAAGTTTACCAACAAAGTGTTCGACAACATCTTGAATACGGATCAACAGCATGGAGTTCGGCATCAAAAACCACATTGCAAGAATTAGACAAAGTGCAAAATCAAGCACTCAGAGTTACCACAGGCAGTATGAAATCAACACCTATAGCTGTGATGGAGAAAATGGGGATGACCCAAGCACTAAGTGAACGCAGAGACACCAAGATGCTTTTACAAGCAGAAAAGTTTCTTAGTATGCCCAGTCACCCTATGAATGAAAGATTCAAAAATTTAGCTTTGGGACGACTAAAGAGAAGTAGTTTTATCCAACAGGCCAAACGGCTCGGCAGACAAACCACTAATTTACCTGCAACTGATAGATCCTTAAATGCTGTCCCAGAACGGACCCCCTGGAGAGAGGAGTATAAGTTTCCAATACACATCAAGACTGAAGTGAAAGGGGTATTTGACAAGGAAGAACAAAACAGTGTGCAGCGCAAAACAGCCACCCTCAGTTTACTTGATGATGAATACCCGCAGAACCTTTGGGTCCGTGTTTACACAGATGGGTCAGCAGAAAGCGCAGTCAGAAACGGAGGTGCGGGAGTGTACACTGAGTATCCTAATAATACCAGGGATACAGCCAAATTACCAATGGGAAAGCACTGTCACAACTATGATGCAGAAGTTCAAGCCATCAAGATAGCGGTAGAGAAACTACTAAATACAGGGTATTTTTCACAACCAGTGGTATTCTTGACAGATGCAAAAGCAGTACTTCAGTCACTCCAGTCTGGAAAATTACCAAGCATACGGACACTATTATCCGAACTAGGCAACCGCTGTAAATTAGTAATGCAGTGGATACCTTCCCACTGTGGAGTTCCCGGAAACGAAAAAGCTGATAAACTAGCTAAGGAAGGTGCAACTGAAGAACAACCTGACATACCAGTCTCTTATCAACAGAAGAAGAGAATGATCAAATCAATCAGAATGCCACCGAAACTGGCACAAGATGATTACCATATTATGGACAGACCGAGCAAGTTATTATCCTTCGCCTTAGAACAGGGCACAATAGACAACAAATTTAAGATTGGCCAATCGGCCATGTGTACTTGTGGACTGGCACCTGAAACAACAGATCACATCCTTCAAGACTGTCCCATATTCAACGCTTTCAGGCAAAACATTTGGCCAAAAGAGACACTTGTGGAAGTCAAACTTTACGGGCCGCTTAGTGAATTACAAAAGACAGTGAAATTCATACAAGAGACGGCTTTGCAGATATAGACAATTTATTTCATGCGAACGAAAGAAGAAGAAGAAGACTTTTTGTCATGGTATGAAGGTGTGTCAGCAGAGGACATGACCCACGCTACTGAGGATTTAGACTGCTCACTAACTGAAATTTCTTGTCCAAGAAGTGGAGGAAATAATGGAGAAAATGGGGGGGGGGGGGTGGGGGCTGTTGATGAAGATGCTGAAAGTAAAAGAACATAAAGAGAAGAAAGAGGAAGAGAAATATAAGGGCAAATAAGAATAATAGGAACAAAAGGAGGGGGAGAAGAAAGAGTAATAGGAGCAGAAAGAAAAAGAAGGAGGATAACAGAAGCAAACATAGTAGCAATAAATGTAGCAGTTGTATTAGTAGTAGAGCTGTACTGAACATTCTCTTTGTATTCGCTTCAAGGCCGAATAGTGGACCTAATAACTATTCGGTATTTGGTCAAATACTTGCGGTGTGGCCGAATACCAATAGTGGTTACCTTACACCTGCTTCTGCATACAATGCCTAAATACTGGCAACATGGAGTGATTGGTTTTGTTGAAAGCTAATGCAGCTTTCATGCATTAACTAAGCTGTCGGTGACAATTTACAAGTTTAGTTACTTGTTATAATACTTAGAATACATTCATTCCTAGCTATTAATTACCACAGACTGACTGAAGGATGCAAAACATAAAATGTTTTTAAATGTTTACTATTCTGTACTACATTTTGTGAAGTAAAAGTTTAGCGTAAATTTGACATTATGAATGTTTTCTAGATTTATTTTATAAACTATTCACTATTCGAGATCATATTCTACCGAATAGTTGGTCCTGTTATTCGCTTTACATTGGATTCATAGACTATGAAGAAGCTTTCGATAGCCCTGATATGGAATCTCTCCAGAAATTAACAGGGTACTATGGAATCTCACAGAAAATTATTAACTTAGCAAAGGTAGCACATAAAGACATGAAATGTTGAGTTCTTCATCAGGGAAAGCTAACAGATGCATTTGAAATAAAAACAGGTGTGCGACAATGATGTTTTTCGTTGCCTCTCCTATTTTTACTGGCAATATTCATTAATTGGTGCCTGCGCAGAATAGAGGGAATGAAATGGTATGATAGAATTACTCATGTAGAGCTTTGGGAGAGAACTAAACCAGTTTCAGTGGAGAAAAGAAATAAAGGAAGGCCAAATAAAAACACATGGAGAAGGGAACTAGAGAGTAAAGTTTAAAAGATGGAGGGAGCTGCATGCAATAGCGAAGAAGGCAGAAGAATAAGAAGAAGCAGCTTCCATAATTTATGTAATGAGTAACGGCACAACATCACTGTATACCAAGCAACTGAGTGCACCCTGGCTCGGCTATCTATCATATGTTAACCTTTTCACCAAGGAACAAATCCTTGCAAGGATTCTTGATCTTCATTTTATTAGAATATCAAGAAAAAACACCTTGAAAAACAAAAACAAACAACATTTACTTGTTACAACAACAAAATCAAGGACCAAATACCAACATTTACCATTTATATGAAGAGGAGTAATAAATGAACAACAAATGCCAAGGAGAATACATTTATATTTCTTTGGGTCTTCAAAATAAATTATAGCGTGATTATTACTTGATAACCTGAGCTGGTAAGCCTATGGCTAAAGAGGAAAACGCAAAGTAAAAATTTCTATAAAAAACAGTTTTTCACAAGGAAACCCCTTTACATGCTATTATAAGTAAATGTATTTATTTCCAGTCATGCTAAACGTTAGCACAGGCACAAAAGGAATAAATTCTGTTAAGAATAAGTAATGGCAATTGTTCACCTAAAATGCACACACATACTCAACAAACATATAAAAAAACATATACTCCTAAATATATGCGCACATACACCCAACAAATGTGTACATACATATACGCAACATATAAAAAACAAACACTTAACAGACAAGTACATACATATACTCAATATACTTGCACACACTCAACAAACACATAAAATACTCAACAAACATGTACCAACCAACTAACCTTCTCTCAACATCTTCAAGCCAAACACAGCAAACAGTGCCGAAGATGCATAGTATGTTAGAGCCCTGGGCACTACCGTTGCTGCATAGCCCACAATCGCTGGACAAACATAAAAAATCTCACATTCAGAGATCAGTCTTCAATGGTAGTAATATGGCATGGGAATATTGTGGTTCACAAAACAAGTAAAGTCTGTACTGGATAAATCAATGTCATGTCATCTCTGTGTGTGTGTGCCTGTTCATGACTGTGGGTGTGCGTGAACATTTGTATCTATATCATCATCACCGTAGTAAAAACACCACCACTACTGTCACCAATGTCATCACCACCGCAGTCATCATCATCATCTATATCGCCATCATCATATAGACCACCACCACCACTGTCATCATCACCATCTGCATGGTCATCATCATACAGACCACCACCACCACTACTGTCATCACCACCGCAGTCATCATCATCATCACCATCATCTATATCGCCATCATCATACAGACCACCACCACCACCACTGTCATCACCACCGCAGTCATCATCATCATCATATAGACCACCACCACCACTGTCATCACCACCGCAGTCATCATCATCATCATCACCACCATCTACATCATCATATAGACCACCACCACCACCACTGTCATCACCACCGCAGTCATCATCATCATCATCACCATCTGCATCGTCATCATCATACAGACCACCACCACCACTACTGTCATCACCACCACAGTCATCATCATCATCATCTGCATCGTCATCACCATACAGACCACCACCACCACTAATGTCATCATCCTTGGATGGAGAGAAATATTCTGCTGGTGCCTTCTCTAGAGGGCTGTCCAGCACTATGTGGCTGCTCTGGACTGGCCTGATAGATGAGTCCACCAGGTGAGCTAGGAAACAAAGATGACCACATAATAATGAGGCTGCTGTGTCCCAGAAAACTACCTGGGAAAGCTAACTCTGGCAACAGATGCCAGCAGAAGTTGAACATGTTGGCCGAAAGGTGCATATATTGCTCCCATATTATAAACAGACACAACACATTTACATCTTCGGGTGGATGCAGAAGAAGAAGAGCGGGCTCCTGAGATTTTCTTCTGTTTGATTCACAAGTGAACTTGAAATACTGTCAATTTAACTGTCCTACACTTATCTGGCAATGTACTTTCACAAATACCTGATAGGAAAGTCATGGCAAACAGAGCAAACAGGGCTCCCATCAGCACAGTCAGTCGTGAATGTGTCATGGCCATGATGGCTGCAATAAAAAATGTCTTATCTCCAATTTCCGACACAATGATCACAGAAAACGAAGCAATGAAAGCATGTAGGAAGCCCAGATTGCCTTTCTCGATCTTCTTTGTAGACAGCGCATCCTCATCAAGACTTTTCGTCATCTGCAGCATAAAAGAAAGAAAGACTACTTTAACTCTTTTAATCCAACAGATTTGACAGCAGATGCATTATGTGGCAACCTAAACCATAAAGAATACACCAATGCTTTACTTCTGAGCTTTACTTCAAATACATAGCGAGATTTTCTTAGTGTACTCAGACCAGAGATGATAGATATAATAACATATAGGAGAGACACAAAGCTCCTCACCCAGCTCTCCAAATACCACCATTTTAAAGAACAACCCATGCAAAGCCGACTGCAGAAACCCCAGAAGGCTAGACTAAAGAGAACCTGTTTTATTAAGAACGCAAATGCCAAGCTCGCTGTCCTTAAATTCCCTCCCATAATGCCAAATGTTCCACTTAAACCTTACAACGACTGCCCCCCTTGGCTTAGGGATAGCCTACCAACAGTCAGAACCACTGTAACATGGATCTCCTCCAAATCATCAATGAGCAGCACTGATATGAAATCAACTACAGAAGGAGAGATCAATAGACTTCATCCACACCAGAGTTGGATTCGAGTGTATACAGATGGTTCAGCCAAGAGAGCAGTAAGAGACCAGAGGAGGAGGAATATACATAGAATGCCCAAATGGTTTAAAAATCGACCAGGCTGTACCAACAGGTTCATATTCCTCCAATTACAGAGCAGAAGCAGAAGCACTTCTAGCGGCATGTTCTTTCCTGAATGGACAACAGCACAGCAAATATAGCAGAGTGGTCTTTCTGACTGATGCTATGTCAGTTCTACAAGCAATTGTTAACCCAAAAGACACTCAGTTTGTAGACATGACGCAACAGCTGATTTTACTTAGGCTCTTCAGTAGAACAATCTGTACTGCAGTGGATTCCAGGTCACTGTGGCTTGGAAGGCAATGAAATAGCGGACAGATTGGCCAGAAGCGGCAGTGACATGGTACAACCAAATAGCGACTTAACCCACGAAGAGATGAAAACATTAATACAATCAAGTATCCAAGAAAGGTGGCTGGATACCCACAAAAGATTTTCTCCCCAAGACTCACTTCATCGCCTCTCTAGAGAGAGACAGTGTATCATATTCAGACTAAGGACTGGGCACAACAGATTTTGTCAACACATATTCAAATTTTTCAGTGTAGGAAACACGGAGATGTGTCCCTGCAACGTGGCACCCGAAAATGCTGAGCATGTGCTCCAACACTGTCAACTGTATGCTGACAACAGAGACACAATCTGGCCTGTTCCAACCACACTGAAGACAAAACTGTATGGTACACGAGAGGATATGGAATGCACGATAGCTTTCATAAAGGCTACCGGCCTCCTGATATAAGTTTTCTGACAGAAGGATCGAAGAAGAAGATGTGTTGTTTGACACCCATGAGTAAAAGCTGATGATATGTGGTGCATAAAAAAGATGAGGAGGACACTGAGTGAGCTATATGCAGCAGCAAAGGATAGGATGACTTGACTTAAGTTGTTTGAGGGCATACGCTCCATTGGGGAACAAAGGGCCGAAGAAAAAAAATATTTAAGATGCCTGCCATTTGTTCTTCTTTTGTCCTTGATCCTCTTTCACAATATTTAATATTCAGTGTTTAATTAAGAATCAACATCAAAGCATTCCCATAAGCACTCCATTCCCTCTTCAGCAGCAAGTAGAGAGTTCCGATTCTGATTGTACCAATAACAGTCTGACTATATCCGTCTCGCCTTTCCCCTGAGTGTGCAGTGTCGGCCAGATCCCCTGGTCACTTGTCACAACACTATTCTGCTCAGACCATGATGATCCATCTGTTCACTCACCCCTAAATGTTCCTTATAACATCTAACTAGTCATGCATCAATTTACCACCAAGTTGTGCAGAACCAGCCAGTCTATTTGCCTGTTTCCCAACACAATGGCATCACCCGGAGAAATTATCCAAAGGATACTTAACTACTCGGGTCATCTCAAATGATGCTTGCTGTTCTGCCCGCAGCATACTTATCTCATCCGTTCTCAATATGCTCTGTGAGTCAGTTAAAATTATGATAGCTGACTCTCAAGCCAGCGGAAGGCTGCAGTGACTGTTCCACCTCCATTCTCAAACTAGATGTGGTATCATATGCCAGGCTTTGCTGTACTAAGCAATATCCATTTGCTTTTGCTAAGAATCCCAATGAACTTTGCCTCTTAACACAGAGCCATTTGTAGAGGAAATCACATCATCTGGACGAGAATGAACTTCTGATTCTGCAGCTCCCACTGGCCAGTTGCTGCACTCTTGGCCCAATGTGATTATAAGCCCACAAGTCTGGTTGTTGCTTGGACACTGACCCACAAATATCCTTGCCCAATATTATCAAGCCAGTACAAATGTCTAATTGTGTCTTCAGTTTGCACCTTCCAAGACCTTCCTCTTCTCATCTTCGACCTTTAGCTCTGTCTAGAGCTAACAGCAGGAGGTGCTTCTTGTCTGCGGCTACTCTGAGGTATGATTTTACTTGCAGCACTTTGCACCTATCTGTAATAGTCTGAAGTGCAAATTTATATCGCAGACCTATTACTGGGGTCCCTCTCAGTGGAGATGTGGCTTTTTAAACACATGTTGTGAATAATCTAAGCAGCCAGAGATAAAAACAACTGCCTATTAAAAGACTGCTTACTTGGAGCCACCCACTCTGCATGGATTTCAACAGTGGTGTTGAGAACTGACCGTTCAGAAAGCAATATCAAACTTATCACCCTGTAGCAGGTCCTTTGCAGAACATCACTCTCATCTTGGTCAGTCTAAAAGATACTCGATCTCTCGCCAGTTCTCCTACTTCGTGCACTTTCATATCCAAGAAGTCTCTTATATCCTGTGCCCATATTTATTATGGTCGGCTCCTCCCCCTTCTTCCTGGTACCAAGCCTTCTTCTTTTTGCTTTAGAGACATCATGCTTTTTATTAGCCAATATTTCTATTTCTTGTTTATAAACATCTGGCATATTTGTATGCAGTCTGTTAACAAATATTTAGGTCAGTGAGCTAGCCGGTCGCCTTCATACTGCGGCTCCTTGAAAAGAAGAGTGGCAATGACAAATATTCTGATGACTAGCAGTATCATTGGTAGTGGTAAATGAGACAGAGGCACAGAGAGATAAATAATACATCTTGTGTCTTCGCCTTAATCGCCTTTTACAGCATGCTTGTTAGGGAGGCAGCATCTATATAAATATTTTTTTTGACTATCTAAAATGGGACCCCCAGAACTAAGACGGTGGATGTGGAGAAAGATGAATGCCTGTACACAATGGCAAGCAGATGAAGACAATAACTAAAGCTTTGTAGCCTTAGAATATATCAGATTTAATAGCATTAAACTGTATTTCTTTATTTATCATTGTCGAAATCAACAAAAAGTTGCCGGCTGCCAAATCGACTGCAGCTGAATTGAACAGAGTATTTCAGAATTACAAACCCCATTTACAACCATTAGCCAAATATGCTGACTCAGTATCTGTATCATTCATGTCCCACTTGCACACATTTCTATACTGTACTGTAGTTTAATCCTCACATCCTGCAAGTATTTTGACCAACAAAGATCACAAATGAAGAATTGAGGAGGAAAACCAAATGCCATCAATGGCAAATGTTATCAAAGGAAGAAGATGGAAATGGTTTGGACATGTCTGCAGAATGTTTTGTGACACTTTGGCAAGGACAGCTCTCCAATGGATGACAGATGGAAAAAGGAGACGTGGACAACCAAAGGCAACTTAAGGACAGCAGAAATGGAAATAAAGGAAAGTAAAATGATGCGACATACCATAGGCACAAAAGGAGCAGACCGGCCTCAATGGAGATCACTTTTGAATACCTTATTTGTCAACAGTGACATGAAAATATATACTGTAGTAGACGCCACACCGCGTAAATTAAGAATCATGCCTTTAACACATTCTAACTATACTTCTGATATCCCATAAAAATTAATCTTTAAGACGATCAGAATTATAAATCCAAACTCACCTTAAATTTATCTCTCACATCTTCCCGCTCAAGATGGTGCTTTCCATCCTCATGGTTGGAATCCTCATTGGAATCTTTATCCTTTGAATGCAGCAGATGCCTTGACTGATGAAACAGTGATAAAGAGTCCATTGTTTCTGCTGAGTGGGCAGAGCTATGTATCAAGGTCAGCAGAGCTGTCAGAAGGACACAGCAGCTTCCTACAGTTATCTTCATTTTGGGAGTGGGTGTAGAATACAGGTGTTTGACCCCTAAATAATAGCAATCAGAAGCAACAGTTGGTAAATCAAATCCACATTGTCTTGAAGTCCAGAAGCACCAGTTGAAGTTATGCAGAATTTGACGGATAAGAATGTGGCCGCCTCAAAGGGAAATACTGATGAGGCTGTAGCAAGCCTTAGGCTGCTGCATGACTGTTCAATCCTGCCAGAGAAAACAAAACTATTTCACAATTTTGTATTACTGTCTTTGGGTATGTGAATATCTAGAACCTTTCTCTATGTCTGCCTGTGTGTGTATGCATTATGGCACTTATATACAGATTAAAAAATTGTTTATTTTCTAACTCTCCCTTATGTACGTTTGAATGTATGCATTCACCATCCATGCCTTTGTGTTTTTAATTTGATATTTATGTATTTTTATTATATGAAATAACATGCTTTATAGACAAAATGCCAGTGTGAAAGATAAGTGGATGCGCCGAATGTAAGATGGGCCTGCGTGCCCAATTTGTGAACCTCTGTAAATAGAGTGTGGTCATCTGTTTCTAATCCTTCAGCTTTCTCTCTTATCTCCCTCCTACAATTGTTCCCACATCCAGGCCTTGGGGTACAACTGGCCGTTAGCCATACAATTGTATAGACCAATCAGCTATTTTTATAGACCAGTCAGCACTTAACTCTTTTAGTCCCAAAGAACGCATCAAACTTTCATAGGTTCCTACCCAGAAGCCTAATAAACCCAAGATGCGCTGATTTAAAGTCTCTCTTGACTACCCTTTGGGCCAATGATGCTAAACTCCCTGGGACTCAAAGAGTTAACTAAGCATTATGCAGTCATTATCACAGCAGCTACCCTTATTCCAAGAAACTGGTCTCGTCCCCTTCTTAGGAAAAGAGGGAGACCAAAGAACGGAGATAAATGTTGTTCCTCCCCTCCCAATCACCACAAAGACTCTATTCCTTGCCACTACCCTGCCTTGTGTCTTTCATTGTGTGTGTGTGTGTGAGTGGGGTGTGTGTGTGTGTGGTGCAAGGAAGAGAAGGGAGGAGGGGGTCTGATGCCCTGCTTGAAAACCACATTTTACCAGGAACCATAACTTTCTTTACTTGACGTGTGAGATAATCAAGTGATGACTGTGAATCTGCAACCAAGACAAGACTGCAAGAACCGAAAGTTAAAACTGGTGTGGCCAGACAACAGTACTATGCAGGAAGCCATTGAAGAATAAGAAACCAACACAACTGGTGTCGTCAGCTGCTAAACGCTGCAGGATTTAATGAGGAGGGAATCAAAGCATTTATAGATTGAATAGTTCGAAATGCTGTGATGGATAATCTGTTGATTAACTAACGAAGTAACAAACTAACTGATAGTTCTAAACTATGGCAGCATTTAATATGACTGAGGTATCTCACTATCTGAAACACAATGCTGTTTATGTGCAAGTTTCATTTAACCTTGTGTAGAATGTCTTCTAAGTGATCCAGGATATTCTAAGAATTATGTGACATTTAGGATCCCACCCTGCACCCTTAGTGACTGCAGATTTTTCCATGACCAATATTTGTATATTATCCTAGGAAACAGGCAGAGCAAGAAGAACAAGATGGAAAGATAAAATCAAAGAAATTCTGCAATAGTCTATGGTCGAGGTGGAAGCAGACTCTTATACATATTTCTCTCCTCAGCTGAACCAACAGAGGAGTGAGTAAAGAAGAAGATATTAAAAAAATTAATTTGTTCTCCAAATATTTTTGCTAGGGTTGTGTCAAAAACTTTTAATGTTGTAAAACCACTGCATTGCTATGGCCAGAATCCTTTTGACTTTTCCTGAGCAACTTCCCCTGTTTACTGTATTGTTACAGTATTTAATAAGCTTCGCAATTCTGAGATACCCTGTTCGGTTCCAGCTGCAGTTGGTTAGGCAGCACATCGCTTAGCATTGATTTCGACAGAAGTTTTTAGAGTCTACCGTTCAGAAACAATGGCAAACTACTGGATGTAAAACTGCCTAGTAAAACCAGACAGCCAAACAAACAAAAATGCTATGGTTATTTCTGCAATGTCCTATAAAGGATATGCAAATGACTTAAGAGTATTTAAAATATAAAAGAAATAAAGATTAAATAAGATTAAATACACAATGAGACAGAATTACACGAAGAGAGAACTACCTAATTAGTCGCCTTTTACAACAGGCTTGTTGGGGTGATGGATGGGGAGGGGGGCGGGGGGGGGGGGGGGGGGGGGGGGGGGGGGGGTAGGTCTAGTAGGTTATTGTGTGTTCTCCAAAATGGGACCCCAGAACCTTTCATCTGTAACTAAGCAACATGCCTTACACAAAGGTGCAGCTCTGTGGCTTCAAGTTTAGTGAGCTTGTTTCACAATCTTATGGGTACATTAACAGGATCTTATGTCTGCAACAGCTTGTTTTAAAAAAAAACCTGTTCTGGATTTGGGGGGGGGGGGGGGAGAAGTGGTGGGAAAACCATGGAAGAGACAGAGGTCTCACCGTGTAATAACCACATATGCAGCAGTGGATACTAATAAAACAATGACTAGGGATATACACATCCACCTCAGCTAACTTCCATTGTGAAGACTGCACCCCAAAAAAAAATTCTTATTGAATAACTGCAAGTCAGAAATTATTTATCTTTGACTGCAGTCATATTTGCATTGTGGCATACCCTAATTTACTCTGCAGGGGCAATGCATGCATTCAAATTAATTAAACTTCACAAAGTCAGCATGACCACATCTTATACTGAAGTTAATCAATATTCTTCTAAAGCAATCATGATTCTGAAGTCCAAACAACAATTAACTCTTCTAAACTTCTTCTTCCCTTTATACTAGATTTATATTATAGTGTGAAGGAGTGTTTAGTTGTTTCAATTGTTAGTTTAGTTTTAAAAAAAATGAGAGTATGCAAAGCAGAAGGTTGTGGACTTCTTTTTTTTCAGGCTCCCTGGCTGTGAACTCTGGCAGAAAAGTTCTGACTGTTCATCCCCTTCTGGGTTTTGGTGGTTTGGTCTCAGAACTTGAGTTCTGTGTGCACATCCATTTTAAAAATATGGTTTATTTGTATATTTGTCTACAGATTGTTGGTTCTTCCCCTCTCAGATTGATGTGTGTAGTGATGCATAGCAATTACTCCGAAGCCTATCCGGTAAACAAAACAAACATAAAAATGTGTTCCCGTAACTCACAGGAGGCTAATGCTCAAGATGACCACGTGAGAGTAAAACATCTATGAAACACATACAACCTGATGTTTGGAAAAGTTACCAGTACTCAAATAACTGTAACCATGCTGAGTGTTTGCTTTGAATCAGTGTCTGTTTTTTTTTTTTTTTATATATACTGCAAAAAAGGCCAAATGAAAACTTTATGTTTGTTTATATGTAAAAAAAAATTTCTTACAAGGACATGATTATCAACAGGCTGCATGCCATATGACAACATTAAATAGATTTCCAATCTCCACACATGTGTCAGTTACTGTTTATTTATTTTTTAAGGGTACATAAATGATTCATCACCATATAGTCCAGAAGCTGTGCTCAACTTAAGAACTCTGTAATTCCTAGATTTCCTGTGTTTGGGGTAAATTAAAAATTAGGTCCTGAAAAAAAAACTGTGAGCCTCATGTGACAAATAATGACACAACAGGATGCTGATGATGATGTATGCACCACATTAGCGGTGAGCACACAAAATATTTCAGCTGTAAATCACCATAACAGTGTCCAAAATAGAGGTGGCTGCAGGTGAGATGGTATCTCTTGTCTTGTCCACAATTGCCTCACAGCGTAGTGGGGAGTCGCAGTTTTCTATCCTGGGCCAGGTGTGTTGCACGTGTTGTTGTTAGTCCGTGTTGCCTCAGGATCTCTGATATATTGTCTATCCATCGTACTCTCGGTCTGCCTCTTGCTCTAGGGCAGTAGTGCTGTTCGTTGTATGCTCGTAGAGGCAGTTGGTCGGTTTGCATTCGCATCAAGTGGCCAAACCACTCTATTTGTTGCTTCTTTATGTATTGCAGGCATGGTGTGGTTCCTACAATTGATCTAATGTTCTCGTTTCGAACTCTGTCTCTCCTTGTGACATTGGCAGCCTTACGTAAGCATCTCATTTCGCACATCGTGATCTTTTTCTCCTGTGCTCTTGTTAGGGACCAGGTTTGGCATTGGTAGCAGAGGGTTGGTATCAAATAATACATTTACACAAATTATGACCTGGTAGCTCAACAAAGGGAAAGAAAAAGACCTGTATACATTTTTTTGAAATTAGTAAAATCTTTTTGTGCTGTTAATTGTCACAAGGCGGATATGGGAGGGGGTCTCAGTGGCATTGTGGTCAAGCAGTTTGCCTCATGCTTCGAAGGCTGAGGGTTTATTTCAGGTATGCGTTGTTCAGTTCACAAGTGCAATTTTTACGGAGATACTGAGGATTGCCGCCAGATCTACAGAGTTCGCACCTTTAGCCTATGTCAAACAATGTTTTCCCCCCTTTTTTTAGAATTCACCGGTGGAAAGTTCTGGTTGTTCGTCCACACTTCCAGACTTTAGTCCTTTTCCAGAACTTGAATTTTGCATTCACATTCATTTTACAGATCTGGTTTACTTGTATACGGATTGTTGGTACCTCGCCGCTCAGACAGATGGGCTCTGACTTCAACCAAAAAATCCCTACTTAGTCACATTTTATGACATGCTTGCCATGGAGGTAGTAGGTCTATTCTTGTATTCCCCCAAAAAACAGAGCTTTAGACCCACACTTGAAAAACAAATAATGTTTGACATAGGGGTTTCTCTTGAACGTCAGAGAAAAAAACGTGCCAGACTGGGACCCACAGACATTTATTAGACTAATACATGTGTAGGTTTATGTGGCATAGACTCGCTCAACGTTGCTAGCGTGTAACATTGTTGTGATTGTCAATTTATGTGTGAACCCAGCAGTATATTATCTAGAATGATTGGCCCCTT